TTAACTAGTTGAATGTAAAAGGCAATTAGTTGATTTTGAAATATTTTAAAGTCAACTCCGGCATATATGTGTCGTACTTGTCATCTATACGACATCGTAGAAGAGAATAGAGGAGAAAAAGATATATAAGCGAGTCACACTATAACATTCTTTTTATATAAAATCTACCTTATATAAAATTTACTTTTAATTTAAATAAATAATTGCTCATTCAGTATAATTATTGCTCATTTAAATTATTTTATTGCTCAATTAAATATAAATCAAAAAATATGAACAGTTTTTCCATTAGAAAAGAAGATTTACAATAGACTGCCGATCTTTTCTTTTCATTTAATAAATTGATTTGTTTTTGTTGTTTGGTTTTCAAATGAAAAGTAAGTACTGAATAATCGAAATCAAATGATAAAAATATTTCGGAAAATTTTATGGATTATGCTGTCGTCATATAATTAATTATTCAAAAAATGTTCCTCTGCAGAAACATTTAGTTCAATTAAATAATTCTATACTACTTCAACAAGTAAACAAATAAATCTTTAGTGTATGTGTACGGTCTTTATATTGTTTAGTACTTGAAAATTTCTTACAATTAAATGCGATAATAAATTATGTTGTGTTTATCTTATATGCAGATAATATAAAATAAATTTGATACATCATTGTTTAAAGAATTCTCTTGACACATAAGCATGAACTTTCCACACGCAACATGCTTATCTCTTTTTTTTTCTATCATTAATATAAGAAATAACGATAATCTGTGTTTTTTGTCCGTTATTAAATAAAATCTTATGGATCATACGAAGAGAAAACAAAATGCTTGATAAATATTTCCTAGAGACTCGCAAATTAAGAATGAAATATATGTTTCAATTATATAAATAATTTGCCATATTTAATAGAGTATACTTTGTGGACAACTACTTCTTTAATAATTAAATAAATCAAAACTATAGTTTCTCTTCAAAGCATGTCATAAAAAAAAAGAAGAGAAAAGTTTTCCAATGAAAAAATGTTAAGTAATATATTATATCTGTTAAAGAAACAACGTATTGATTTCTTTTTTCAGACAGATAACTATAGAAGAAATCAATTATTTATATATATTAATAGATTTCAATTTTTGTAGAAATAAAATAATTTATGAAACAATTGACTTCTTTTTTTAATCATATACTAAATGCTTATTGTTTGATGATTTTCCAATGGAAATTATCTATTGTAAATTCACTATGCATATTAATGAAGAATATTAAATAGGATATAATGTGCAGAAAATGTTTCCATTTTGATTCATATAGTATTTGGCGATTATATATATATATATATATATTTTATTACTATTGATTGATTGATTGTTTGATTGAGGATGCCATAAATATTGTCATGGAAAACATCAGAAAGAGAAAATTAATCTTTATGCTTAAGTCATTTGTATGCAAGAACATGATACTCATACGTAGTAGAAAACTAAGAATAGCATAAAGACAGATACACCGAAAGAAAAAACAATTATTAATAAGTAATAGAACAGTGAGAAATTGATCTTGTTCTTTTGGACTGTAATATTAAAAGAAATTTACGATGAATAATAGGCAGAATAATTTTTCACTTTATGTAGTGTCTTTAATTATTTGTTTAAGTACATTATATTGTAATAGAATAAGTTATAATTAGAAAACTATACGTTAATGAGGTCCGATGAAAAGTTTCCTAAAAAAATTGGATTAGTTAATAAAATTTTGTATTGAAAAAAGAAACCTATTTTGTAGAGTTACTTAATCAAGTAAAGTTTTATATTTTAATACCACAAAAAAAAGCTGATAAAAATGAGATATTTTACTCATTCTGTCAATGCATCATCTTATATATAGATTATTCATTTTCAATATAGAAAAAGAAAGAAGTTTTTCCTTTTTACATAGAAAAACCTTCTGAGAATCATCAGTCACTGTTTTAATTAACTGTTTTCTTTTTGTTATTGACTTCTATGGTATTAATGTTAAACTGATAATCTTTTAAATTAATTTTTAATGATGTTTTGCCTATAGATACTACATAGCGTTCTAATACAAACTCTAACGGATTTGGATTCCTATTGAAATTCGACTAAGCTATTGATTTTTTAATATGTCGATTTTCTAGAGGACCCCAGATTTTCGAAAAACTCATATTTTCAAATTTTGATCTGAAATTTTGTCCATACAGAGAACTCAACTAGACTAACTTCCATAAAATAAAAAATTCAAAAGCTTTGAACAACGTCTCTTCGAGACATGACACTTTCAAGGTATAGGTTCTTTTCCATGGATACAATATGCATTTTTTGAAATCTTCATAGCTCGAAGAAACTTTGTTCGAAATTTCTGAATTTTTCTATAGAAACTAGTCTAGTTGAGTTCTCTATATGCACAATGTTTCAGATCAAAATTCAAAAGTACAAATTTTCCGACAACATGGAACCTCTAGAAAATAGACATATTAAAATTCGATAGCTTAGTCAAATATGGATAGAGGAACTCAAATCTTTTTAGCATTATCATTGGAACACTATGTAGTATCTCTAGGTAACAAATCATTGAAATCAGAAGGGAAAATCTGAAAATTTTCCTTCATTAGCTTCAAAGATGGATAAGTCAAGTCATTTTTTGACTTGAGAATTGTTTTCAGAACTCTTGACTTGACCTCCAAAATCAAGTCGAGAAAGTGAATATAGTTATGTGACTTATCCATATTGATGTTGTCTATTTAAAACTGTCAATCAGGATAGAAATGAAATAAAGGAAATACTTTCATGTAGTTCCGATAAGGACTGGTCAGGTGAGTATACATAATCATTTTTTATTTGACTCAAGTCAAGTTTGAGTTGAGTTGTCTTTGTATGAAGGAGGTCGTGATCTGATATGAAAAATTTGCTGGTGACTAATGACTTGTTTTGATTTGATATGACTTGTTCATATTTGCTTAGTTTCATTATAGTTCTGTGAAAAGAAAGTTATCAAATAAAATAAATTTGTAGCATATATTTCCTACCGATAAATCTCTTTTTATACGTTTTTAAATTACAAAAATAATTTTTTTTTTTTTTTTGTAAATACAAGTTCTTTTAGTATATAACTGTAGAGTAGAATTGTGTATATATCATGTACGTGAAAAAAAATCCAATTTTCATGTTATATCGATTACGGTATAAGTTTCTTTCTCGAAAGAAAATTCATCAATATTGAATCAATTTTATATTCATCAAAACAAATGTTTACATTATATTGTCCTAAAACATTCAGACATGATACGAGAGAAAAACAAAGATTTCACGATAAACTGAATAAAAATAAACCTAAAAGAAAGGAAATAATATGTCATTTTGAAGAATCTAATTAATATGTGTTTTTTCACGTAGCAAGGACAAAAAAGAAAAAATTCTTAATAAATTATTATAATGAGAATGAGCAAGAAGCGACGTAAAATTAGACAGTTTTTCTTTTAGCAAAAATACACTCGGAAAATTACGCTAATTATTTACAGACTATATGTCGTCTGAAAAAATATTACAAATATAGATTAGTTATAATGTCTCGAATTGTTTTTTAATATTCTTTATCTAATTGCCTTTGTTTATTGTAGATTTTAATATACATAAAAAGTTTATGCTAAACTTTTGAATACCTGAAATTAAGAAATCTGATACAACATTTGTGATCTTCGTTTTTTTTTAAATAGTAATTTTAGTTTTTATTAAAAGTAAAAAGAATCACTTGTGAAAGTTTTTTTTTTCAACATCCAATATCTTTTATAGATCTTCTACAGTCAACATATATTTTTATTAGTCTACCATTTATCAATAAGTTAATCACAAAAATTAGAAGGTCTATATTATTTATATTAGCTTTACATATATGTAAATATGAATTCCTTGAATTAATTATTTTACGTGAAATTTAGTTTATTCTATCAGTTTTATAGGTGACAATATTTTTGATTATCAAAATTTTTCAGTATTTATTTCACATTGACCTTTTCAATAAAAGGAGTGTGTGTGACATCTTCTCCTCATTCACATCCATATCCACATCTATACCCTCACGTAATAGAATCCAATCTGATTTCGAAGTCGACATTTTCACAAATGAAAATAGATCTGTACCATTTTTACAGATGTACGCACCCTAGTTACTAACTGCTTTGATCACACATTGATCTAGGGAAACAGAGCTGAATGTGGATGAGGCGTTGTGTACATGTCATGTAGAAGCATGCAATAGGAGAAAATGAAAAATCATAACTCAAAAAAATTGATCATCAGAAGTCCTTTTTTCCAAATTTTTTTAATAACATTTCTGGGATTATTCGTATTTGAAAAAAAAGTATGAAATAAAATACAAAAGGTGCATTAATGTCAGATTATATTTACTTAGTCATCTATAAATAAGCATTGTTCGCATTCTTGCACAATCTCTTTCATAGTTTTCTCTATTTTTGCGGTCAGGCGTAAAATTTTTGTTTCTGTTCATAAAAGAAAGAAGAAAAAACAAACATTTTCTCTCAATACCAATATTTGATATATTATGGATAAACAATATTTTATCATAAATGTACGCAAAGTAAATCTAATTTTGTCATACCTATAATTTTTGAAAAAAAAACGATTTATATGATAATCTATCTTCATATTTTCTCAGTTATGACACATAATACGTGCCTTCGTTTCTGTTGTTTCTAAGAGCTAATGTGTTACTATTCATCACAGAATTTCCTGCTATTATTATATTTCAACGTCGGCTATTAAATATATATCATCTTGAATAAAAAAAAACGACGACGAAAAAAACAAAAAGAAAGAAGTATATAATCTAATAAACAAGATGAATACTCTTTTCTTTTTACTCTATGATTTGTAGATAACAAGAAACTTTTTTTTTCAGAGCAGTTTTGTTACTTTTAAGTTTAATTAACGCAATAAAAAATTTCCCTATATACCATCTCCATCCAATACAAATATGATGAATGTTACTAAACCATCATGGGTAAACTTTGTATTTTAGAGATACATAACATACATGTATATTAAGATATATTTATAGATAACAATTCCGACTGAACTTATTGGTTCATTACCACGGACAACGGTATTATTAGAAGGTCAACAAGCATATAAAGCAGGTCATATGACAGAAAATCAATTAAATATATTACAAGATAAAGCAGTACGACAAACATTAGCTGAACTAGAAAAAACTGGACCTGGTCAAATAACAGATGGTGAACAAGCTAAACCTTCTTTTCTTGTCTATCCGTATGTATTTATTCACATATCTAACATTTATTGTCCTTTTTCTTTTAGAAATATTGATCACTCTTTTTTCTGTCTAAATATTTTCTAATGCATAGAACATTTTCTTGTATTGAAAGCAATTTTGTTCAAGGACTTTCAGAAAGAGATGCAATATACTTAAGCTTGGAAGTCAATTATTTTCTTTTATTTTCTTGTGTATGTACTCATACAAAATACTCACTAGATCATGGCTAAGATATGATTTGTTATTGGCCCGTTCATATAATTAACACACGGAACCGGAAACACAGCTGAATAAAAATTAATTTCCTGTTCGAATAATACATTTATGTCATGAGATTTATATAGGAATAAACTAACTTTCTAGTTGAAAGAGTAAAATCAGTGTAAATCTATAATTCACAAACACAAGAATATACTTAAAAAAAACAAGCTTATTTTTATTTTTTTAGAATAGCTCCATTATATCCATCATCATATTCATTTGATGATATTATTGATTGCTTTACAATAACATTTTCTGATGGACATCAACGAGCGTTACCACGTCTTATGAAGGCTCCATTTCAATATGGAAAATATGCTGTTGATTATGTTACTAGAGCTCAGCAATATTCACGTCGACCAATAAAACAAGCTATTATATCTCCATCAGCTTTATCAAATGTTTATCCTCGAGCAACAATACCTGGTTATACTCGTGAACAATTTCTTGATGATTTAGTCAATGAAGTTGAAAAAGATATCCGTCTATGTTTAGAAGCTGGTGCTGATAAAGTACAAATGGATTTTACTGAAGCACGTTTATCACTTAAAATAGATCCATCTGGACAATTATTAAAACAATTTATTCATTTAAATAATCGTGTTTTAGATAGATTTGATAATAATTCAGAATATCAATATAAAATTGGTGTTCATATTTGCCCAGGTAATTAAATAAAGATATTATCTAATTAAGAAAATTATTAATTAAAAGTTTAATAATGGAAAAATAAAATTATTTTCGAATAGTAATTTTTATGAAAAAGTTCTATTATAAAATTCAATTTAATGTAAATTTAATATTCGTAAATATATACATATTGTTTATTTTTTGTATTAGGTGGTGATAGAGATTCTTATCATTCATTAGATGTTGATTATTCATCAGTATTACCAATTATATTTGATTTACATGCGTCAACTTTTTATTTTTCATTAGCATCAGAACGTGATCGAAAAAAAAGTTTAGCTATTATTCGAAAATTTATGAAACCAAATCATCGTATTTTTCTTGGTGTTATTGATCCATGTGATGCACGTGTTGAAACAGCTGAACAAGTATGTGATCGAATATTGGAAGCTGTTCGATATATACCTATTGAACAATTGGGTACAACAGATGATTGTGGTTATGCACCATTTTCAGATGACGAATCAACAACACGAGCAAAATGTTATGATAAAATACGTGCACGTGTAGATGGAACACGAATGGCTGAACGTATGTTAAATTTAAGAAAATAAATTTATTATAAATTAATTGGTTTTTTTGTTGTTGCTTGCAAACTTTTGATTAAAATTTATAAACAACATATGCTAATGTTGATTGTTTTTCAATGTTATTTTTATCTCGCAATTGAATTCTTCATGTATTTATAGTGAATCATGAATCGAATGGTTAAATATCTGTATTCGTTTAAATTTTTTTACTTCATATTATCAGAAAAAAATAAATAAATATGTCGCTTTTGTAATGCTCGTAAAACTGAAAAAAAAACCATTGCACTGTTCATTCATATCTCAAAATTAAAAAAGTATTTTTAGGAATTTCTATAAATATGATAAGATGCTTTTGACAGAATTCAAACCCATTAAAAACAATTTCATGTTATTCTTGCCAAAGCATGGTCGATGACGTTGGTTATTGGTTATTGTTATTCGTTGCACAAGTAAATCATTACCGTTTAGTCACAAAGAATTTTTAACATACCGTGACCAAATATAAATATAAACATTTTCATGAATGTTGAAAAGGATTACTTCGTCCTTATTTTTAATACTTATTTCAAAAGCATAAAAATTTATTCCGATAGAAAGACGTTGGAAACCATTATACATAGAATTCAAAATCAGAAAGTTTCCGAATCTTTTTTTTTCGATGGTTTCCTACTAACATTTTCTTTTTTTCCGACGAGAAGTACTCGGAAGTCACCAGAAAAGTTCGAAAAAGTTTTCGCTTGGAATATTGCATTCAAGTACCATCAATATCCATAGTTTTACTCCTGAATACAGTATTTTTTCGTCTCATCTTTTTTACTAGTTTCGACAAAATTTGGTTATTTTCGAAGTCTGTAATTCTCGACATAGATATCTATCAAGTTTATCCAGTTTGTTTCTACAAATGCATCATCCTTGTAAATAATTAGATATAATCATGACATTACATGTCGCTATCAGAAATAGTTTAGCCTTCTCATAAGATCAATTTTTCATCATCATCGAAAGATTATGTACTCTAAATTTCTAACGGAAGACTATAACATGGCCTGTGAATATACTTCGATGGTATCGATCTAATTAAAAACGTGCCCAAAGAATCCATAGTAGATTTTTCAATTCGTAAAACTGTTAGTGAAAATGATAATTAATAAAAAAATCACTAAGTCAATATATACGTACTATTGTTTTCATTCTCATATTTATTTGGAGAATTTCTAGGCATAAAAGCTTTTATATAGAATGCGTTTTCTATGAAAAAAAATAGCTGTTAGTGCAATTCTTTCGGGATAAACATGTAAAATATGATGTTGCTGTTGGGACTAATCGGAGGAATAATGTTTTTTTTTCTATATATTTTGAGACTCATTTCCTCATCATCCGTTTATTTAATCCTTAAGGAATTCAAGAAGGAAATAGTTCATATAATATAACAAGACGTTATTCACATAGAGCACTGAGCAGCTTAATTCAATTCAACTCATGATTTGAACTGCACCGAGTTGAAGCATTATGCAAAGACCTGTGAATTCAGTTCAATTCAATTTAAAAATAAAATTGTTATTAAATTTAGTGAAAGAATAAATTTATAAAAACAAATTTGAGAAATATGAAATATCGTAACTTTTTTTTTCAATGACTCATTAGATTCCTTATTTAGAAGTATCTAAACCATACTTACAGTTCTATATTTAAATTTTATATTCGCACAATATTATCGCTAAACGCTTTGAGTTCGTGCATGACGTGCATATTTACCCTATCCACCTATGTTCTTAATCTACCGGTGTTTAATTCTATTAATTTGGGTAATGAGTAAATTATTGTAGTGGACATGAGTTTAGAACAGTTGTATTTTTAAGTTTTCTTCTCGATGATCGTAGCTAGCAAGAATCTGAAAAAAAACACATTTCTGTAGTTGAAAAGATTCTCTATTAGGATTGGTAAGTCCGAGGACTTCAATAAAACTGCTTGGACGTGAGTCTTCGGAAAATCAAGACCCCCAAAACCAACTTTCTAGCATTTGCTCGAAGCTCTTGGGAAAAATTTTTAGTTACTAGAGCAAATAACTCTCAGCAAATCGAGACGTCTCCGATCTGTATATGACTTTCCTTCATCGAACTACATTCAATGTACAAAAGGCCCCAAAGTGCCAAGCATGGCAAAAAACATTGCAATTTTTAATAATAAGAAGAGAACAATGCCCCTTGAGCGTTTTGTACATTGAACGCAGTTCGATAGAGGAAGGTCATGAAAATATCGGAGACATCTCATCTTGCTCTATCAGATAAATTCTTTGCCCAAAAGCTTCAAGCTGATGTCAAAAAACTGATTTTAGGGGCCTTGGTTTTCCGAAGGCTCCCATTCAAACAGTTTTGTTGGCGTCTTCAGATCTATCAATCCTAGTAGAGAACCTTTCCAGGTACACAAATTTTTTTTTAGATTCTTGCTAGCTGTTACTATCGAGAAGGAAACTTAAAAATACGCCTGCTCTAAGCTTATGTTCGCTACTATATTTATTTCTTTACGTTTCGATTTAACTAATGAATAGAATTGAATTGAATTGTATCTGTCCGTAACATAGTTATTATATGGAAACTGCGGTCTAAACGACCACCTGGTAACTACGGTATGAATGATTGTATAAGATGATAAAGGGCACCTAAGCATTGAAATTCAAATTAATCGAGAATTAGTATCCTAGAATGAAGCATTCGAAATTCGTATACACTGTGAAACGATTTAATACACTTTATATTTCACCATACATGAAGAAATATGATCGTAATACTGAGTTATATAATACGACAATAAACAACGATGTGGTTGTCAAGTCTAGGATGCTATTAGCAGTGATTGTCATTGTAATTAAACTATTGAGTAGTTCGATCGATTGTGCAATGGTGTGGGTCTGGATGTGGGTGGAGGCGTGAGACGCGCGTGTGGGTGTGGACGTGAGTATGAATGTAGATCTACTCTCCATGCTTCGATCACACCCACACCCTACTCAAGTTGAATACTACAACCCGCGGGTCGGACACCTGTACTCGTCTCGGGTACGGGTATGAAGTTTACAGGTGCGGGTAGAGTACGGGAACGAAAAGTTGTGCTTCTGAAGTACTCTGATTTTGGACAAGAAAAAAACCAAAGACCTCGACATGATGAATTAACATTAGTGATATATTGAGATCACTTATTGAAAAGATGATGATGTATCAGATAATGATTAATCCGATCGGCTTGATGAAATAAATGATTACATGAAAAAGATATTCATTAGTCCAAAAAATAGGGACACATTGAAATGATGGCAACATTACTTAGTTTCTTGTATACAATCTTCTTGGTTGGCTATGACTTTATTATCTTTTCTAACGAGTTCAGCAACTAATGTCCGGACCAGACTTAAAGAGAGGTGGATATAAGCGTAATAACTCCATAACGGTAACAGTTAGCGATCTGCGGTTTTCAGCAGTTGAAAGAAGGAAAGCTGGAATATCCTTTTCTCCGATAATGTATAGGACGAAATCCTTTTAAAACTAACCATCTTCAAAAAGCATGCAAAATAATGTATGAAAATGACCCGCCATCTAGATGAAATTTTGATTTTGATTTTTGATTTAGATAGAGGGACTTCAGATCTATAGTTCAAGATACAATGCGCTTTCTTACTTTCCATCACATTTTCATTGAAGTATCAAGCTATTATGATAAAAAATGCGAAAACTTGGTAAAAAAATCAGCAAAATTCCCTATTATTTACGCATGTGAATAGATGATTCTATTTACTCAACGGTAGAATGTAATAAGAGAATCATTTGAATTGTATTTTGAACTATAGATCTAAAGTTCATCGATCTAAATCAAAGATCAAAATCAAAATTTCATCTAGATGGTGAGTCATTTTTATGCATTATTTTGCATGCTTTTCGAAGATGATTAGTTTTAAAAGAATTTCGTCTTATAGATTATCGGAGAAAAAGACATCCCAACTACTCCTCTTTCAATTGCTGAAAATCGCAGATCACTAACTGCCGCCACTATGGAGTTATTGCACTTACACCCATCTCTCTTTAATTCTGGCGCAGACATTAGTGAGAGAATTACATATATACTGATATCGTGAATTTCCGAAATGAAAAGAAGATATCTCGACATAGGCCTAAGAATCTTTGTATCTATCTGTCAACTTAACGGTTCTGGTTCCAATTTCAAGGAGTTTTAAAAAGTCGATTACGATTCGGTTCTCGTTTCCAAATTTTCAGAAACCATCGAATTCTAGCGAGTGCGGGTAAGGTACGGTTAGAGAATTTGTGGTCGGATCGGGTACGAAAAGTTGTACTCGTGCATTACTCTATACTCAAGTTATAATGACTGCTAATATAATGTAAGTAAATTTGAAATATAAGTAGAACTTGAGATTTTTAATTATATAATGAGAGTGATATTGATCATTATTATTGATTTTTATCTTGTGGTTAAGTTCCAGCAGACGATGACCGTACAAAACATCTGTTCAAGGTCGAAATATCCTTTTGTATGTTTCTTTTACATTTAATAAAGTCTAGATTTCACTCATTTTACTGCATCATTATTTTCTCTATTTTCATTATATAATTAAAAATCTCAGATTCTACTTTTATTTTAAAGGTAACAGATATATTCGTGATGATTTATATAAATCTGTAATAAAAAGTGTGTATAAAAATGGAATGAATCAAATAATACTGAATCCACTTATTAAAGAGGCAATTTTCTCGCTAGCAAATATTTTTCAGCTAGAGGTTCATATCGTTATGAAATTGTAACCTTCGTTTAGAATTAAGAAGTAGATGTTTACTGATGTTAGAACATTTTTTTGCTTTAATGTATTAGATTCAAAAAAAAAACATAAACACTGAAAATAAAAACAAAAAGAATATGAAATCTTTTCATATTTTTTAAATTCTCTTCAATGGATAGATTTATTTGTAAAAAATACTTCTCTTTAGAAAAAAAAATAATGCATATTTAAACAACAAACATAT